GTGCAAGCTGAGAGCTGCTCTAAGAGACCCAGTTGAAACAAAGCAAGCAAAGGGAAGTGGGGAGCTCCTCTACAGGTGAGGGAGCAGGAAGAACTACAGTGGCTTCCACGGGACACAGAGATTGAGCCTTCCTGAGTCACAAAAGTAGCATGTCAGGATAGTGAGGAATAGGCCAGATAGATTGCATGGATCCATAATAGGGAGACTGCGTGAAGCCAAGGTGGCCACCGTACATGGTTACAAAGGAGACATAGAAGACAGTAAGGCCCCCATCAGCCGGGTAATGAGCTGGAGAGAACAAAGGTAGGGCAGCAAGGGCTCATGGCAGCCCTGGCATGGGCATAGGGACCTGGAGTAGGAAGGAGGAGGCTGGCCTAACTCCAACAAGAGCAGGGGAGGAGAATGGTAGCAGACCTGGGGTTTAGAAAAGAGGGAAGGGTGAGGCTTCAGGATGAAGCCATTGTCTCTGGACTCAGTATCAGGAAACAGCAGGTGGCACCAATGACCAAAACAGGAGAGTTGGGAAGGGCAGCTGGCCTGGGTAAAGATGACAAGTTAAGCTTTGAACATATCTGCTAAGTTTGAAATCAAATCTGGATAACCAGTGTGAGATAGCCAATGGCAACGTGAAGATATCACTATGAGTTCAAGGAGACAGTGGGGCAGGGGATGATAGCAACTCTTAGGAGTACATTCCCTAGATGAGAGCAGAGAACAAAGAGAAGCCAGCAGAGGCGCACCCACTGCAGGGCTGGGAGAGGGAGGAGAGGGATGCAGAAACAGAAAGAAAAGGAGGATGGACTGACAGACCCAGGATGAAGGCAGGAGCACAAAGGAGGGCAAACACAGGGTGGACCTGTGTAACAGACCACAAAATATTAACCTCAAAGTAATCCTTAACAATGTTAAACCTCTCAAAAGACGTTCACAGAGAAAATGGGGCTGGCTGGTTTACACCCCTTCTCATTGCATGTATGAGAATGGAGGAGAGTGTCTTTCATATTGTTCTGTAGTTGACATTTTTTGTGGTCACAAAATAATGACAGGAAGAACAAAGAGATTGTCTTAGGCATTCTATTGTTGCTTTTGCTTTCTCCATCCCAAGAGCTCAAAATGCCAAACTTGTTTAGAGACACTTTAACATGGCTAATCTTTTTTTAGTGTTGGGTGCAATGTTTGTTGCAAACAAACACTACATAATTCATCAAAGTTGTGATGCATTCACTTCTTTCTTGATGTCCTCCCCATATCTACAAGGATTTGTCACAGAGCATCACTTGTGGCCTCCATTGTCTGCACAATCTTTACCAGCTCTTCACTAAATAACTGAAATTGTTAGGCCCTCTTCACCAGTTCCCAGAAATGTGCCTGATAGTCTTGTTAATGAATAATGTAGGGTTTTGTGAATTCCCTCGTGTCCTTGCCCAAGCCAGGGTAGGTTTTCTGGGTCAGTTCCTACAGGCACTCCTGCCTAGAGTCAGCTATCCGTGTTCAACTTCCCAAACACCCCCAGTGGACCTGCGGCCTGGAGAGCAGGGCCTGGACACACGCTGGGCCCAGGCTGGGCCAGGTACCCCTTATCTCTGTTCTCTCAGTCCTGGCCCCTCCACTTCTTTGTCCCTAAGAGATCAAAGGTCAGTCCCCCAGATGGCTAATCACAGAAACAAAGGCATCTGGAATCTCTAAGGAGGGAACGCCAAGGTCATATTTAAGACAAAGACCATTAGGCTTCAGAAAGGACCAGAACTACCAGGTAAAAAGCACATGCTGGTTTCTAGCTCCTATTTCTTCCACATATTTCAGTGGAATGCCTCTAGGAAATTTCTTCTGATTCCTCAAAGCTGGAGTAGGTCCTCCTATGGTCCTTGGTTTCCTTTGATTGTGGCACTGACCAGCCTACTTGCATTTATTTCTGTTTCTTAGTACTTCTTACCTGTCTTTGATCTTCCTGGGGTGTCACACTCTGTAGTGTGGACAGTGCCTGGCTGGGGCAGGGCAGGAAGGAGGCGGTCCAGCTGTACATATGGAATAAAGGAAGAAGGACTGGGGCCATGTGAGGAAAGAGCAGGTCTGCAGGGAAACTGAGACCTCCAAGAGTCTGTCAGTCATCTTAATAAAACCAGATGTGAAAACCAGGCCCCCCTTCCCTAAGCGCGCTCATTGTGTGCACTTATTCTGTGAGTCATTCCTAGCAGTCACACTTCTGTGAGAGTCCAGTCTGGCAAACACAGGCTAATGAGCACTATTTCTGCTGGCTGGTCTCAGAGGTGCTTGACCTGACCCTGTCCCATTCCAAATCCAAAGAACAGGAAGGTCTGGGGAAGGTCCTCCCCAATACTCCCATGTGCCCTTGCTTGGATGCCATAAGAAACCAGCCTTGTCACCTTGACCACATCTCCAGTAGAACTGGCCCATGCTTGATGGGGAATCAAGTCTCTTCCTTCCAGTTCTGGGTCACTCAGCCCCAGAGTAGTGACTAATGCTCAGGAGATGATAAGATTGCTAGGCCACCAAGGCCACACTTGGGGGAAAGTTCACAGTGCTGATCCTGACAATAATTTATTAAGAAGCACACATAAAACCAACTGAAGGGGGGGAAGTTGGAAGGCCACTAAAGGGAGGAATCGCTCAGCTCAGTATAAGCTCCCAAACCAGACAGAGGTATCGTGATCCTAACACTGGGAACACATCTCTGTCTCCAGCCTACTCCTCCTTCCTGGTCTAAGAGAGAAAGCTGAGGAGAGGCACAATGGAGGGGCAAAATTTCAGCATGAGGTTAAAGCAGTGGTTTGGAAAATCCATCTACTAGTAAAGGAGCTGTATGATCATAGCAGATATGGTCAAGTGCAGAATCAAACAACCTTCCACATAGAAAGAAATACAGCTGACACCTGGCACACAGTAGGTGCTGTTTGGATGTGTGAATGTAGGTAAAGTGTGATTCACACAATTTAAAGAAGCAGGTAATCCAAGAGTCATACCTACTGCCTTGTGAGGGAGGACTTCACAAATTAGTAGCATCTTACCATTCAAATTGTATTTTTAAATTATATTTTGCTTGAATCAAAACACAGAAGTTATTTCAACACTCTGGAACACCTAACAGCTGATTTTGGAAGGAGGTAAGCAAAAATGTTATGTATGGCATGAACTGTGAGATGAATTTAAAAACTAGTATGATAAAATTTTTACATGGATTTCTTGTGTATTCACAAGTCATATGCATATTAATTGCTTTTCTTTAATTCAGCTACTAAAAATATAATAAGATGATAACATCTGAGGTCAACTGGTGATCAGAGGTGTCCATGTGCCAGCTTTCTTAGGAGATTTTACGATACAGAACAAAGCAAATGGCAAGGAATTTTCTTGGCCTTCATAGGATAATTAAAGGGAAGTAAAATTATCTCAAACTCAACCTTGGGGAATTTGACTTTTCAGGAGCTTACATGAGAAGCTCATTTTTTTTTTAATCCTAATGTCCCTAATGTCAGAAAAGCAAGATCTTGGAATTAGCTTTGATCTGCTAACATTACTAATCAAAAAAATCTAAGCGCAGACAGTGGTTCAAATTTCCGAAGAGAACCTTCTCAGACTTGCCTTGCCATCAAGCCTAAGAATTTCCCCTTAGAAGTGCTAAATGTGGTCAGTATTTCTAAATCAAAATAAAGTGTTCTCAGGACCGTTCTTTTGAAAATATTTTGTCATCGTTGGAGAGGGTGTTTAAACAACTGACTATGGGACCAGTCTGGGACCAGAAGAAACAATCTGAAGTTCATTGCTGATGCAATCAGTCCTCTTTCAATGGGCAATGAAGTTGCTGCCCCAGAGGAGGCAAACTCTTAATTAGGAGATGCAGGTACATGTCACCAGTTTGTTCTAGTACGTAACATTTAATCATTTATAGACAGCCAAGTGGAGTTACTATCATTCTTCCAGAAGAGAAGTAAAATTTTCCCAAAAAGAAAAAAAAAAAGCATAAGATTAAGAAACAGTTTTTTAAAAAAAAAAGTAAATGTGGGAAATCAGGCAAGCAGCAAAATTCATTTTTAAGTATTTGAGGGGAAAAAAAGCAAAATGTGTTTAGAGGCCACACCTTCTGGCCTTTGGGACTGCGCTGTGACACCACTAACAGCTGAAGTCTTTATTCTCTGGAGGGGAAGGGAAAAACGAACAGCAGGCTCCATCCAGGCTCCTCCAGAGCTGGAAGCCTGACTCCCAAACGAACCTCCCAGCGCCCTTCTGGGCAGGCACAGAACCAGAGGAAATGAAAGCTAGAAAAACAATTTGCGCATGGAACAATGGATGGAGTCTCACTTTGTTTTCACACTCAAATATAAATGTGGTTATAATTTTAAGACACACACTAATAAAAGGCAGACGGGGTCTTTTTAAGCTGGAGGTACAGAAGAGCCCACTAAGGTTCTCCAGCGTGCCTTAGGCTACACAAAAGTCGTGGGAAAGCACAGATACAGCTGTTTCCAGGCAAACGGCCCAGAGCTGTTCAGCCTCAGCCATCAGTCTCCAAACAACTAGATACACGCCCAAAGCGATTCCCGGGCACATGTGTGGGGGGCTGTGAGCAGCTTGGGGTGCGCGTGTGCACCCCTCCAGCCCCGACTCCATCGCGCGTCCAGGGCAGGTGAAGGCACCCAGCAGCTAAGCGCCTCCGCAAAGAAGGTTCAAATCCCGCTGGCTCCCGGGCACCCTTACCCTTCTGCCGGTTCGCGCTAAGCTTCTGTCCTTTCCCTGGCCGGGAGGAATTCCCTAACTCTCCCGTAACCAGACCATAACAAAGGAGGCTCCGTAATGGATGCGCGATCGCAGCCCACAGGGATCAATCACCAGCAGGAACCGGCCTGAACAGCTCACCTGGCCGTGTCACCCGCTACCCCCAAGGGGCCGACGAGCGGACTGCGCTGGGCGCGGGACAAAGAGTCCCCGCGGGGCGCCCTGGGCGCAGGGCGGGAGGCAGGGGAGTGGAACCGCCGGGGACTCACCTTCGCAGCGGCCCGGCTGTGCTCCTCGTGGAGCAGAAGGGCGGCGGGCAGCAGCAGCAGCCAGACGCCGAGCCGGGGCCCCATGGTGGCGCGCCCGGGGCGGCAGGGGACGACGGGGGACGGCGCGGGGCGGCGGCCGGGCGCGTGGAGGCCGCGGCGGGCAGCTCGGTCTCAGAGTGCGGGAGTGTGAGCGCTGTACACCGTCCGGGGCGCGGTGGCTCTGAGCAGAGACCTGCGCGCGGCCGGCCGAGCTCCCCAATTTGTTGGCGCTGCCCCCTCCCCTCGGCAGTGCGCGGGCGGCGTCTCTAAGGGGAGGACCCTGCGGCGCGGGTAAGAGGCGGCGGGAGCGCGCAACTCGGGAATTGCTGTCGCCGAGAGCCCAAATAGCAGGGCTCGGCGCTCCGCACTCTGCGGCTCCAGCGTCCAGATCCCCTGCGCCCCCGCGCTCGCCTGTCCGGGCCGAGGGACGAGAAAGGACGCGCAGGCCCCCAAGGAGACCGGCGGCGCAGCTGGTGTGCCGCGGGCGGCCGCTTCTGAGCCGCCAATGCGCGTGGGCAGCAGCAACTGACGCCAGACCCCGAGGTGAGAGCGACCCCCCGGCTGCGCCGAGACCCAGGCCCGAGGGCGCGGACTTGGGGCGCTCAGTACTGGCAGGGGCTGCGCGCTCTCTTGGTTAGGAGTGGGAAGCAGGAGAATGGGGGGTGGGGGGAGTAGGGATCGCGCTGCCTCGGCTAAGCGGCACCAGCCAGGGCCTACGAGGAAGGCTCCCCTTTTTCCCGTCTCGTGGTGGGACGCGCCTGGTAGTCACCCCCACAAGGAAGCGGGGCGCACCACGAACACAGCCGCGGCGAGGATGCTCTGCCTGCCCACCCCCTCGCTAACCCGCTTTGTCTCTGGCCTCAGGCTACGAGGGATCGAGCCGAGCCGAGAGCTGACGGACTGGGAACATGGGCGGAGAGCGGTGCGCGGCGTCCGGCCCTGCCCGGTGGCGGTAAGCGACTGTCTGCCTAGTTCTCTGAGCTGCGCGGGGAAGGGGATGGGGGTTCTTGCAAGCAATTTTCGGGAATTAACAAGCCGGGACCCGCACGCTCATGTCGCTCTTCCTCCCTCTCCCATACAGGTGGCTGCTGCTGAGGGCCCTGACAGTGGGGTTCCTGGCCCAGAGCGTCTTGGCGGTAAGTCCCGCTCGGGTCCCACGCGCTTCATTTCGCGCCTCCGCGAGGGGTTGGCACTTTCGCATGGCCTTCAGGAAGGCAGCGCCTCTGGCCCACCTGAGAGTGCGCGCGCGTGTGTGTGCGTGTACGTGTGTGTGTCCTCCATTCTCGCATCCTGTACATTGCAGGCGGCCCTTCACGGGAGCTCATAATTAAAACGTGGCCTGAGGCACCTTTTGCTTTTGTTGGAGCAAAACTCCGGCCTTAGAAGCAGGAGGAATGTCAGTCACTAGGCAGCGAGACCCTGGGAGGGGAAAAGGGGAGCGCGAAGTGTTGTAGTGACCCCCGCAGCTGGTGTCCAGGCACTGCCTTGCGCAGAGGCCTCCTTGGTTTTTAAATTCGAGACTCTGGGGGAATGGGCGGGGCGAAGAGGAGGAGACTACTTTGAGAGGGAACAATGGAAGAGTTCTCCCAAGTCTTGGTTGGGCCCTGGAAGAGTCACAGGTGGGAGCAGCCAAGTGGGCCACACCTACAGCGCAGCCCCTCAGCAATCACAGTCCAGCGGACACTGCCATGGCTTTTTTGGGTGAATTGCAAACTGTGGGAGTTCCATAACACATATTTGGTTCAGACGCTCTTCTGTAGCCAAGGAGTAATATGCCTACAAGCTTTGGTGGATCATCCATAGGAGATTGTGTTAAAGGACGGAGTGAAACTGAAGGGCACTAGACTAGGGTGACTGATGAAAGTCCCTGTCTGTTACAGCACAAAAGTGCGCTGGTCTGTGCGCAACAAGCCTACCCTTGAAGCGTAGCGAGTACCTTTTGGGGAGAGTTGTGTATTGAGGGTCCTTCCGACTTCTGGTTAGTATTCAATACAATCAGAGCCAGTGTAAAACAATCAAGTTCTAAAGAGCAGGTCGTGGAAATACATTACTTCCTCCAGAAGTAACCAGACAGATCTGCTCTAGGCCTGCCTCAAGACCAGACAGAGAAGGGAGTGGGAAGGAGGGTAATGAGCGGGTAAGGAAGTAACCTTGTGGCAATCGTAGTTTGTGTTTCCAGGCAGCCGTCTGTCTCCACTTCCTGGTATCACAGTCCAAACATTGTGAAATGTAGCCAGATCAGACTTTAGGAAACCGAATCAGATGACTCTGTGGGTCCTTGTGCACCTAAGACTCGTCCCACGTTTATAGACCGAGGACCACAACGCAATTGCACTCATCGAGAGGTCGATGGTGGAGTGGTAAGCACGCGCTAGCCTTAGTAAATCCCTGAAGGACCACAAAAGTGCCAAGTGTCTATTCATAAATTCCTAGAAGGATGAGGGAGACTCAGGAATCTTCTTATCGGAGGGGCTGAAGCCAATCCTTGAAAATTTCGCTGAGATAGGGCTTTAAGGATGAAAGACAACAAGGTATCTAAATCGCTCCCTGTCGCTTTCAAGATCCAAAGACCGCTGGGTTTTCACACTTAGCAGGACAGGATGTTCACGGATATCATACTACCAGAGGGAGCCCTGCGACGAGTGGCATATAAGCAGCTCCGTGCTCCACATCCTCTTCGTGATTTGGGGCTGCGATAACTCACCTCCATCTCTGTGTGTGAGACCTACCATCCTTGGATGAGAAACCTTAAAAGGCATTTTATAGCCTAGCAGAGCACTACGCAAAATTATAGGCCGTCTAGACTCACCTAAAGCAGAAAATTATCTGGACAAAGGTGATAATAAAAAATCAAGGCATAGCGGGATGTTAGTACCCATGCGGTGGATTGGGACTTTTCTGGGGATGGAATTCTTATCAGGGGCTGAGCCAATCCTGAAATTCCTGATAGGGCTTCTAGTTGAAAGACCAAGTCACTAAACCTCCCTGTCCTGTCTCATGATCCCAAGCCTGGGTTTTCACACTTAGCAGGAGTGATGTCCCCAGATTATCATAGACACCAGGGGCCCTGCTGCGTGGCATACAGCTCCATGCCTCCCCACATCCTCTTGGGTGCTGCAAACTCACCCTCCATCTCTTTGACCCTCCATCCTTGGATGAGACCAAAGGCATTTATTGCCTAGCAGAGCTCCCCAAATTATAGCCCTCAGACCCCACTAAGCAGAATTATCTGGAAAGGTGTAATAAAAAAATCAGGCATTTAGTCCCCATCTGATGGGACTTTCTGGGATGGAGGCTGGAAGTTTGCATTCCTACCCAATGCTACTTTGGGGGTAGCCCACTGAGCTGGGCTATTTGAATTGACAAGCAATTGAAGTAAACTGCCAATTTATTTCATCTCTCTGGGCTTTAGATTCCAAATCTATGAATAAAATAGGTATGTATTTTTAATCATTTTTACTAGCGACGATTCAGGTGTTGTTTAAAA